ACGGCTCCTAGCCCACTCCCAGCAAGAGCTTTGGGACAGGAACCCAGAACTAGCACTCAGGATTTGACCCACGATGGTAAGACTTGAGCCCCCTGGGCCAGGGGCATGGGTGGAGGTGGGAGCCGAGGGTCTATCCAAACTCAAACCCATGTGCTCGCCCATGTGTCACGGCTGACAGAGTGATTATTCCCCTTCTCCCACTTGTGAGTTCGCCAGAACTGGCATCCCAATCCCCATTCCACAGATGCGCAAACTGAGGCTGGGAGAGAAGTGACTTGTCGGAGGTCCCAGAGAAAGCCAACAATAGCCAGCTCTGGGAGAGAGTGCTTGAGTGCCAGCTGCCTGCCACACCCGTGCTAACTAAGGCCCAAGATGGCACCACCCAGCTCCAGTGACCCACCGGGCTCGGGAAAACCCCAGACTTCCCAAACCACCAGAATGGATGGCTGGCGTGGGGACAACTCTGCCAGGACTTCTCTCCACCGTCGGGCCCGCCTCTACCTTCTCGGGCCTCTCCTGGGGCTCTCTCTGACCTCGCAGGAGGCACAGATTCCCCAGGACTTGTCTGGCAACATGCAGCATTGTCCCTCCCCAGGATAATTCTTCTCCTGGGTATGCCAGAACCATAAGCTCGAACATTTCCCAAGGACGACTCCAAAATAAATTATTTCAGACTTAACAGAGGCTGCTTAATAAATTCCACTCTTCTAGTTTCTTTGGGTATTTTAGAAACTGATTTATACATACAATATCTCTCTCAAAATGAGACAATCAACACAGGATAAAATTATTGAGTTATGAAAATAGGGGTCAGATGGAGGTGCAGTGCCTTAAATTAAACCGGCAAAATGTATCTTTCATACTAAATTGACTCTTTTTGTCTTGGAAATGAATGTTTAATCAGTTAAGACGCTGAAGTTGAGGGAGAAGCTTTAAGCATATTTAATTTTGTAAGAGGGGCCCAATTCCAATACTGCACAGGATTCCTGCCAGCAGCCATACCTTAAAAGCAGAAAAGCCAACTGCCATGCATGTCAGGAGGCCACCAGGCCGGGACAGGGGACCAGAAGGAATCGGTGGCCTCTGGGCCCAGAGCCAAAAGGGCTTGGCACAAATGCGATGGTTGTCAGACACCCTGGCCTCACCCACCTCTCCAGGGACGACATCCCTGACACATCTCAATCTGTGCAAACAGCATCTGTGACCTACTGGCCATGGGGCACCTCTGGGGCCACCTGTGGCCCTGCGGCCCAGCTGCTCCATCTCTCGAGCTCCTGGTAAATCTGAGAGGTGCTCAGTAGCAGACAGAGCTGGGCTCAAGTTCTGCTTTGGTTTCTTAATAACTGTGTGACATTCTTTCACTCATTTACTCATGCCGTGTTTCTAGAACCCACTATGTGTCAGGTCATCACTTCCTAAAGGTGCCTCTTCCGGGCACACACAGCAGCGTGCCCTGATTCTGTCAGAGCCCTTGCTGCTTTTCCAGAAGTGCAGCCTTCACCTGCCTCTCACCTGCACCAGCGTTCCTCGAGGGCCTCGTAGAGCCAGGGCTCAGAACGATGCTTGGGACCTAGGAGGCTCTTCATAAAGGTGCTGTCCAGGGGATCCACCAGGGTAGGTTGAAAACAGCTCCCCCAAAATGTCAGGTCCTAATCCCTGGAACCTGTATTTGGGGGGAAAGTCTTCGCTGGTGTAATTAAATGAAGGTTCTTGAGACGGACGAAATATCCTGGATTAACCCTAAATGTTATCCCAGTGTCCTTACGAGAAAGGCAGAAGAGACTGCACGGACAGAGAGAGGGCCGAGTGAGGTCGGAGTGATGTGGCCATGGGCTAGGATAGCCAGCCACCTCTAGAAGCCAAAAGCAGCAAGGGAAGGACCCTCCCCAGAGCTTCTGGAGGAAACTCACCCCTCCTGACACCCTAATGTGGGCCCCGCGATATGGATTTCAACCTCTAGCCTCCAGAGCTCAGAGAGAACCGGTTTCTGGCGTTTCAAGATACCGCACTGGTGACAATTTGCTCGACGGGCTGCCGGAAGCCGATACAATCACCCGCCTGCTCTGAGCCTCCGCTTCCCGACGGAATGATACCCGCCTCGCTCGGTTCTCGGGAGCAGTGTGTAAACAGTTTGTAAAGTCCTCCGCATTGCACTTGACAGCTAGCAGGTGGCCACACAAATTCCTCCATCGCCCTCGGGATGCACATCTGCATACGCATAGACGCACGCCTGCCTCCTACCACTCGGACAAACTTGAAAAACTTGTCTCTAAGGGCAACTTGTCTCTTCACCAGAGAGGCCCCACAGGAGGACATGATGGACGTGTGCTTATCGAGTTTCCCATTTGGTCCAGTCGCCCTCCCCTGGATAAAATAGTTTGGCTTCTCTTTCGTTACAGAATGAGGGAATGTAAAACTCAGTGAGCCCTTGACACCTGATTAATGGAAGAATGAGAGCTATCTGAATTTGTGAAGCATCTTTACCCTGAGCTAGTTTTAAAGAAATCTGGAAAATGACTGCAAAGTGCTTATTTGGACCAAGCGCAACCAAAACATACCCGAGGAGGAGTGATCAGAAGGTCATTTCTGACATACAGACCACATTCTTTGTCATTATCAGAGCTATTATAAGCAGGTGGCACTACAAAGGTATCTGCAATCTGTTCCTTTAGGTAAATGAGACTCATGGGAAAGACATCCCTGTTTGGTTACAGTGGGAATTCACTTTTATTACCAATCATCCTGATAATAAAGATTCCCTGATTGTTTACTGTCTGCCAGGCGTTTTTCTAAGACTTGGCACACATTATCTCCAATACACTTCACTGTAGTCTTGAGGTGGGTACAGTTAGGATCCCAACACAAGGGAATGAAGCTCCAGAGGAGGACCCAGGACCCAAGGCAGGTCTGTGGGATTCCAGAGCCCACACACTGGGCACTAACCCCCACACTGTCTCTCCTGCTCATCGGCACCAAAGGCCAGCAGGACCGGAACCCAGGACCACAGCCATACCGGCCCTTATATTCCAAGCCTTCCCTGGGGCACATGCCCGAGGGGTCTGCTGGCCCTTCCCTGGCTTGTGCTACCATAAGCCCCCAACAGGGACACTCTGGAGTAGTGCCCTTTTGTGAACAAGGAGCTGGGCAGGCGGCTAACGCACATCTTTCTAACAAAGTGGAATTAAAACGGTATAGCTCTGGAATCTTCAGGTCTCTTAGAGAAGAGGAAGCCAAGGGCCTGCATTGCAGCTGGGCCCCAGAGAAAAGTATTCCTCAAGAAATGGAGTATCGGTTTCCACTGAGCACTTTAGTCCAACCCGGAATGTTATAAAATGCGGAACTTGAGTTGACTGCCTCCCTCTCCCCTCTGTCCTTCCTACTTTTTATTTCTTACCTGGATTCAAAGAAGGAAAAAATGTGATGTAGCTCACAGAAATACATAGGGGACCTCAGCGGGTTTTTTTTTGTTTGTTTGTTTTTTAAGCAAGGAGATTTGGTGGTAACAAGAGTAAACAGTAAGTAAAACACTGTCAACATGGTTATAGTACACACTGTCTGTCTGAAGGCTCCAGGCGTCGGCTAGAATTGGGCCACACCCGTGGCTGTGGCCTCTGAGCATGGTCTGCAGAGATAAACACGAGCAAGCCAACACCATGTGATGCTGACAGGGAATCAGCTGTGCAGTCCCTCCTCCCCTGCCACAGATGAGTCTGTGACCCAAGCTGACAAAATCGAAGATTGCTTCCTCCTGGACACAATGCTGGTTGGTCCAGCTGTGCTCCATCATGGTCCTCCCTAGAAGATCCAAACTGTCACTTGCCAGAGATGTCAGGGAAGATGTGGGTTGCCAGCAGCCATTATGCCTGCTGTGTGGAAATGGGCATGGGATAAGGCCCTAATGATGCTACTGGGGTTTCTGGATCCAGCCATACCTGAAACCCCTCATCCACCCCCTGGATACTTCCATCTTTTTTGCTTAAGCTAGAATAAGTTTTATTCCTGTCACTTAGGAATGAACTTAAAAGTCGTGAGTAGTATATAATATAATATTATATACAAACAAAAATGAACATAGTTATTCAGGAGAAGTACTAGAATTCCCTTAAGGGATTTTTTTTTATTACACAAAAAAATCTTCCACTAGTTTTCTATAGCTCTTGATTGTTCAAACCAGCCATTATGCTAAGAAATCATGTATCTCCTTAGCATAGGATTCAGGACCCTTATGATCCAGGTGCTGCTACCTCTTTCACCTCCCTCTCTCTCTCTCTGGCTCCAGGTCCATTCTCTCCCGCCCTACAAAGAGAATGAACCCCATGCTGTCCCCAAGAATGATACGAGCCCTCCTGCCTCTTGCTTTTGTACATGCTATTCCCCCAACTTGGAAGGTCTTTTCCTGTCCTAGTCTGCCTGCTCATTTTCTACTTATCCTGAAAACTTTAACTCAGCAATCATCCTTCTCCCTGGCAGCTTAAACAAGAAATAAGGTATAGTATTTTTAAAATATTGTGATTCTATTTATATGAAATGTCCAGAATAGGAAAATACCTAGAGACAGGAAGTAGATTAGTGGTTACCTAGGACTGTGAGTTGTGGGGGGTTATAAAATGTTCCAAAATGGACTGAGCTGATAGTCATACAATCCTGTGTAAAATCTAGGGAGTTGTCCTCTTTAAATGGGTGAACTGTACAGTGTGAGAATTACATCTCAATAAAGTCATTGTAAAATAAAAATAAAGATGAGATTATACTATTACAAATAACAGTAAAACAAGTAATACCAAGATACTATAGACGGAACTCCAGAAGTTACCTGTGTGAAGATGTAAATTACCCTCCATGCCCTCCCCTCATATTCGGCAGACCCCATGCAAACATCCAAGCCCGCGCCCTGCACACAGGCAGAGGGTCCTCATCAAAACACTGGCATTCTGCTCCCCTCTTAACCCCCTTCCCTGCTGTATCCAGCAGAACCATGGGGAGGGGTGTGACAGACTCACCGTGGGCAGCTGGCCAGACAACAGGTGGCTGTCCTGGGCCAGCATGTTGGACACCATGATGGCTGGGAGGTCCATGGCCTGGTAGGAGTAGGCAGGGAGCAGTCCGTTGGGCGTGAGGCTGTGGCACAGTGAGTGGTAGCCAGCTTCGTGGTCCCCCAGGTGCAGGAGGGATGGCTCAGGGAGGTTGGGAGGTGTTATCGGGGGGATCTCATAGTCTTCGTTGCTCTCGCTCTGGCTGCTGTAGGTCTAAAACATCAAAAGGGCATATTGTTGGGGCTCAGTGTCTTACAACTGGAGAACATGCTTAATAGCACCAATAATAGCAACAAAATGGTAACAACTTCTTGACAAAGGAAAGAAGGGATGATTCCTCTGGAAAGGAGACAGTCAAGATGGCCCCATGACTTGGTTAGATTCCTGCCCCATCTCCAAATGGGTGTGCCCTCCCACTAGAGGGTCTATATAAAAAACCTGCCCGCCTGGAGAGTGGGACCAGCTCTTGTTCCCACCTTCTTCGTTTTCCCATCAGTCTGGACACCACAGCCCACCATGAGTCCGTCTTCCACACCCACCCATTTTAGAGACAGGAGAATCCAGGTCCAAAAGGAAAGTAGCCCATCCATGTTTGGTCCAAGAGTGGGGAATGGACTGAAGTATCCTGATTCCCTGCCTGGTGGTCTTCCAGAGCAGTTGGACACCTTCCCCTTGTGTGCCCTGAACACCCAGCCCACCCAGGTCCTGTCCTGCTCTTTCTCGTCTTGGTAAATGGTACGAAGGCTCCCCCAGAAGCACAAGCTAGGAGCCATACTGGACACCTTCCTCTCCAATCCTTATTTGTTTGCTTTCCCCCCTCACTGCACTGACCAGGAAGCTCCAGCACAATGCTGAATAGAAATAGTGAGAGCAGGCAGCCTTGCTTTCTTCCTTACCTTAAAGATCTCAATGTTTTACCACTAAGTACAATGTCTACCGTAGGTTCTTACAGATGTTCTGGAACAGCATGAGACATGGCTAATTTGTCAAGAAGGTGTTAATTTTTCTTTCAATTGTGCGTGCTTTGTTGTTGTTGTTTTGCTTTTATTGGACTCCTTTTCCCTGCATCTACTGAAAGCTCGAGCGATTTTGCTCCTTTAATTCAGTTAACATGGTATATCACTTCACTTGGTTTTTCTAAGGTTAAAACAGCCTTGCATTTCTTGAATCAATATCTGTTGGAATTTGAATCTAATTCAATGGAAGACCCACAGCTGGTGCCTGAGATTAAAAGAATGACCAGGAGAGGGGACCCAAGGAAGACTCAGTCCCTCCCGATCAAGCTTAACATTAGGTGGAAACCACATCCTGATAGGTCTCGGGTCTGCTGAAAACAATTTCCTTGAGGCTTTTTTTTTTCAATCAAGGAATATAAATATCTAGCATTTAGTGAGCACATAGTATGTGCCAGGTGCAAGCACTTTACAAACATTTAATGAATTAATTCTTAAAACATCCCTATGAAGGAGGTTCTGTTGTTTTATGCCCATTTTATAGATAGAAAAACTAAGACCCAGAGAGGGGGATTTACTTGCCCAAAGTCACATAGTTCGAAAGAAATCTCACTCCAGTTCCCTCCCTCCTCCTCTAATTTACACTATCTGCAAAGGAAGATACATGTTCTTGTCTGTAACACAGATCCTGGGAATCTTGGTCCTTGGTAGACTCTCTTGGAGAATTAGAGAGATAATCCACACCATGGTGAACACACTTGGGGAATCAGAGACACATCCTGGGTCATATCAGAGACACATTTGTAATTAGGGAAACACAGGAGGCCATTATAGATATGGCTAGTGTATTAGGGACACATGTCTACCTTGACATGGATGGCTCCCGGGTTTCCTAGTTGAATGTTTTTTCCTGGCTTTATTAAGATATACTTGACATATAATTAATCTCTAATTCTTAAAAGAATCCTGTGTTTGTCTCCAGTTGACAGATCGGAAAATCAAGATCTAGAGGCTTCACCCAGGTTCAATAGTAGGAGGAAACTGGGTCCAATCCAACCCTTTCTCCCATAACACAGCAATGTCTTCAAGGAGTCTCCAGGCACAAGTCCTCCACGTTGAAACTCTCTCCACTCTGCACCCAGTGCCCACCCTCGAAATAAATACATTCTGAACACTCCATGTTTAAGAACTAGTATGTCTCTACTGGAGAATGGGGGAGGGTAGAGGGAGAGAGAAAGAGTGAGAAAGAGAGAGAGAGAAAGAGAGAACCCTTCAAACATCTTAACATGGGCACCCTAGGGGGGATGAAAATGGTTTTTTAAGTTTTGATGCATTTTCGTGCACATATGTGGGTGTTAATATGATTTTGTCCTTAGGCTCATCTCCTCCAAGACAAAGTGCCCACAAGTCAACTGGTATAATTATATGGTCAAGGCTATGAGTGGTACAGGGTTTGGCGAAGATAGCTACAGGGGGGCAGGACGGAGAAGAGGAAAGAGTACCCCCCAAGTAATCAGAACTGGGTGGAGGAAAGAAAGCACGCCATGCCCCCCTCTGCTCCTCCGTGCCTGGCACCTGGCTAGTAAAACCCCCACCACGATATGAACCCAACCACCCACCCCTTCTCACCCTCACCAAGAGAGCTGAGCAAAATTCCGGCCACATTTCACCAGAAAGCATGGTTACCAGCTGTGTGATGTCTTCATGCCTCCGGGATCCACTCTCCCTAAACTTGTTCATTTTCATGGCGGTTCTTTCCAGCCTGTCTTCTTTCCTCATCCTCCAGCACCCTCTCTACCCATTCGCCCAGTGCAGATGACCAATCACCCTCGACTTCCCAGGGAAAACAGAAAATAACCCTAGCAGCATCCTGATGCCAGAACCACAAACTTGCACATTTGGTACCAACTTGCTCCTCTTTTGACGCCAGAAGAGCCATCCCTCCTTCCTAAAGCCAATCTCCCTGTCCATGTACCCAATGATCTTCCCCCTCCCCTCCCCCCTCTGTCCAAGGACCTCGGACATCCCATGAACCCTTCTTGCTCCTGGCTCTCTGGCGTCCCCCTCCACTGGACCAGTCTCTTCAGCACTAAAACATGCTAACCTCTCTCTGGTCTTACACACTCCCCCACCCCTCCCCAGCTGCCACCACCTCCTCCCCTGTCTTCCTGAAAGGACTGTCCTCACCTCTCAGCCCCTCTTCTTCATCTCCCGCTCACTACACAGCCCCCTGGGACTTGCCTCCTCTACCCCCAGGGCCCCCACCCTCCAGTGGCCTCCACAGCTCCAGATCCAATCAGATTTTTTCAAACCACATTTCACTCAGGGATGTTGGTCCAACTGATCCCTTCCCTTCCTCTTGAGAACGCCCCTCCTTTAGCATCCACGACCTCATACTGCCCACCTTCTTGCTCCCCCTTCTCCTTCTCCAATGCCAACTCCTCTTCTCTACTCAACCTTCCCTGCTGGAGGTTCTCAGCCTCAGTCCTGACTCTTCTCCTTTCCTGCTCTACACCCTCCCCCTAGCTGGCCTCAGGCTCAGTTTTAATTCCCATCTAGGAGCCACATTTCCGCCTTCAGTCTTGGTACCATCTGAGCTCCAGATGTGCGCATCTGAACACCTCCCCTGCCCCAATATTCCCACCTGGGGTCTCACAAGCATCTCAAGGGCAGCAAGTGCAAAGCTGCAACCACATTGCCCTTCCCCACCCCTGCACCTGGGTCCCTCATCCAGTCCTCCATGCAGCTAATAAAGACACCAACTTGGGGTTTACCCTCGGTCACCCCTCAAATCCAGTGGAACTCCTCTGAACTATCTTTTAAATCTACCTACCTCTCTCCATTCCCACCACCACCGCCCTGGTCCAAGCCACACCATCTGCTACCTGGACAACCGCCACAGCCTCTGCCCTGCTCTCGGGCTCTTCTCCCCCCAAATCCGTCCGCTTCATGTAGCCCGAGTGGTCTCTAGAAAGATGGTCACCTCACCACGCCACTCTGTACTTACCATGCTTTCATGGCTCCCTGCTGTCTTGAGGATAAAAAGTCCACAGTCTCAGACACGGCCCTGTCATCCTCACATGGCTGCCCCCCATGACCCCTTTAGACCCAGTGACCTTGCCTGCCTCCAGGTCCTCGCACTGGCTGTTCCCTCTGAGGGAATTCTTAGCTCACCACGCATCCTCCCTTCATCTGGCTCATTACCACGGGTCCCCCCGCAACAGGCTGGTTTGGAGGACTTTGCCAATACTCTCTAGAGTGGGTTAGAACCCATTACACAGCCCCAGGAGGCTCTGCATTCCCCTTGGAAGCACTCATCGAATGTGTAGTTAATGAACTGCTTGCATAATTATTTGTTTAATGTTCACTGTGAGTCCTGCCAGGACAACCCTTGTTGGTCCTGCTTCCCAGAACCTGGCACAAAGTAAGAGCTCAGAAATAATTAGCTGAATGGATGAATGAGCCAGGCCCCTGGGGTGGACGCCATGAGCATACATCTCACTCCGGGATGGCCCTGGACATGGGCGATATTGGTCCCTGAGGCACAGGAGTGCCATGTGTGGTCAAGCACCGGAGTGCCTGGGTTTGAATCCTGGCTCCGCCACACACGAGGTGTGTGACTTTGGGGACACCTCTCTGCCTCTCTGCCTCAGTTTCCTCATCTGTGAGAAGAAGGTAATAACAGCAGGTGCTACAGGGCAGCTGTAAAGAGTAAATGAGTCAACACAGGGGGACTGCTCAGGACACTGCCTGATGCGGAGTCAGCCCCCTTAGTGGCAGCTGTGGTTGTTGAAACTCCTCAGAGTTTCAGAGACGTTAGGGAATTTCCCCAAGAACACACAGCAAGTAGACAGCAGCTCATGCACTCGGTACCCTCACTGTGAGCGTTCTGAACTCCTCACACCCCAAGCCTGCGTGCCGTGGGATGATGTCTTGAGCCTGACCATCATGATGGGCTGGGGGCTGCCTGGCTTTAGGTGGGACTCAGCCATGGGCATCATATCATCCCAGAAAGCAGGGTCCTAGGAAGCCTCCCTCCCCCAGCTGCCCTGCCCATCCTGCAGCAAGACTCCCCTCCCCACATTCCCCCGTGGCAGCCCCGTGTTTGGGCTCCCCCCAGGCTCTCATACATCTGCAATTATTTTTTGATTTTTTACTTACCTTTATTTGTGTCCCCCGCCCCCAATACCAGGCTCCAGGAGGACAGGGGTAAGACTGTCTCATCATCAGCACCTAGCACAGTGCCTGGCACATAGTAGG